AAATTCATCTGAAAGTCTTCATTAACTTTCCTGGCTGTACTTATATATTGTATACATAACTGGGACACACTGTTTCAAATCCTAAATACAGTGTTGGAAATTAGAGCTCGCCCAATCGCCAATGTAAGTGTGAAAAATGTCTGGCGAGTACAAATCATCGATCACCCGCCTGTTTGGCAAGCATGAGTTTCATCTTTAGGAAATTATTTAAACTTAAATATTATTGACGCTTCTTTTTATTTTCCATTTTGGCAAGAATATCTCTTAAAGAAAACTTACAGTGCCTTTTTTCACCTTGTTTATCTTAAGACGTTGGTAGTACTGAATTGCATGAGAATTGAAGATTTGCTTGCTAAGTAAACGACATGGATATGGATAGAGAGGTTTTCACTTGAGTGTGAAATGTATTTGCCATTTGCTTTGGTTTTGCATTGCTATGCTAAGCAGTTGGCTTAAAAAACTTGTACTGCTTTGTCATCTAATCACCCAAACAGGTTTTCCCATGCGTTGGGTTGGCTACATGAATTTGCTTTGAGGTTTGATTGGTTCACTGAATTGCCTGTGTCCTTTGTGATTGGCCAAAGTGATTTATTTGATGGTTTGGTTTTACAATACTCAGTTGTAAATTGATTTCTGTTTAGTATAAAGTATTCTTAGTATGCACTGTAGGCGACAAATATTTTCTTTCTGACAGTTGAGTGTAGATAAACACAATGTAGCTAGAGTGATAACTTAAGTTTCTAGTTTGTTGTCCTGTGCATAAAAATGGAAGTTGTTGATAACTGTCATTCCTATTCTTGTTTCTTATGAGCAGAAAAGTCTGGTAGCAAAAGTTCAAAGGAGAGAAATGCCAGACATGGGAATGCTCTTTCTCAACATCAAAGTGCGCCGGTCTCACTTGATTTCTGATTCACTGAATGAGGTAAGTCTTGTCTGATATTAATGGGTTGCATGTGATCTTATAATAATATTAACCATCATTTTTCAGCAGGTGAACACTTAAATTCAGTAATCAGTGTTTGCAGTGGCTAGATGTGTGTAAATCTTTGAACTAAATTAAGTTACATCCAAACTTACATCATGTGTTCTCTTGACATTAATACTAACAAAGAGATGATGCTCCTTAATTTTAGGAATTACTTGGTCAATAGATGTATTTTATTAAGATATTCCATGTTTTCAACTTTTTTTAGATTTCTCGCAAGCAAAGAGACTTGAAGAAGAAGCTAAAAGTGACATTTGCAGGTGAACCAGGACTGGACATGGGTGGGCTAACAAAGGAGTGGTTCCTTCTGCTGATTAGAAGAATCTTTAGACCAGAGTATGGTAAGAAATTACTGTCCAAAAAAAAGTTATGTCATACTCCCTCTGTCACCTCTTTTTTCAGCAGTCCATTGGGACTAAGTTAGAGTCCTGTTTTTTTTTCCTATCATTCTGAAGGGGAAAAAAGCTTTAGTTATTTTCTGTCTTAGCACTTTCACACTTTCAAGTGTGATCTCATCAGTTACACGTATAAGGAGTAAGTAGTTTATGTGTTCCCTCCCCAATCTTTGTCTAATATGTCCCTTTTGTAAACATTTTATGTTCTCATAGGAACATACAACTCATTTCATTTGATTTGATTTTGTAATTGCAGTACACAGTAGCAGATGTTTGAAATGTACATGTTTATGTTGTGGTTTTAATATATTTTTAATTTTATTAATAAATTAATTCACCCCCAATTTTGTTGACAAATGCGTGAAATAAAATAGCATTAAAATTGCAAGTAAAATTTGACACTAAGAAATGCTCCATCTACTTCATATTTCAGGTATGTTCACTTATAATGAGAAGTCAAGAACATACTGGTTTAGTAAAACATGTATGGACAATGACTCTGAATTCAACTTAGTTGGTGTTGTATCCTTTTTAGCATGGAGAACACTTTAACATTCATGTATTAAATTATTAATGGTAAACTTATTACTGAAGAGTCAGAATAACTACATGAGATAATCATGAACAATATATTATTTCTTAACAATGTGATAGCTAATGGGCTTGGCAGTTTATAACAGCATCATTTTGGACATTAGATTTCCTCCTTGTTGTTACAAGAAGCTCTTGAACCCAGCTGTTGTTCCTTTTCATAATCCTAATGCTTCAGTTGGTCTTGCACAACTAGGACTTCAAGACCTGATGGATACCATGCCAGTAAGTCTGCTGAATAATCAGCAAATAAATATGACTGCCGGTTTAATGAACAGTTATTCCATGAGCACGAGTTGGATATATGAACAGTAGCCTCCATTTGGCGCGGAAATATGCTCGGATATTTGTCCGGGACATTATCTTTTCCCAGAAGCAAGAGAGCGCTTGGAGGTACAGATAATGTCCAACGACAAATATCCGAGCATATTTTTGCGCCAAATGGAGGCTATCACGTCTATTATCCTTCAAATATTTTTCACAAAACACACGGTTTTGAAAAATGGGAAATATCACTTGGATATTCCCCAGTTTTAGCTGGGAAATATTCAGTCACGGGACGCATTTAAACCAATGGCACGCGAGTGAAAATATTTGATGGATTATAAGAGATGTTAGATAGCCAATGAGGCATGTAGCACTAAGTTGCCTATAGTAGTAATTATTATTTTAATAAAACTTGATATCTGTGTGCTACATATTAATTTCTCACTGTTTTGCAGGATCTTGGGCGAGGCCTCAAGGAGCTCCTGGAATATGAGGGAGATGTAGAAGAAGATCTTTGCCAAACTTTCCAGGTCAGTTATTCCTTCCCGTTTAAAAGGCCACAACTACATACACGTAGACAGAGTTTGTGTTGCTAACTTAAGGGTGTCTATCTGATTATTTATGTTTCTACCATCTTTATTATACTGCCACCTGCCTTTTATGGTTGCTTCATTCGTGGCTGAGAGTAACGCTGTTTTAATTCCTCAGATTTCTTTCACTGTGTTTGGTGAAGTTGTCACCCACAACCTCAAGCCCAAGGGTGACAAGATTCCGGTCACAAAGGAAAACAGACAAGGTATTAAATTGCTGTTGCCTAAAATTCTTACTCAATAAGCCCTGTGGTTTTAAGTAAATTTGTCTTATGGGCGATGGGCTTCTTAGCAAATGTTCACTACACGTTAAAACAAAAATTACAAGGAACGGCTTCTTGCATTCCGTTTCTAGTTTGCAGTAAACGGAGGTTCTTTAAGCTAGTAAGTCATCTGTAGAATCTACTGATTTTTCTTGCTTTAGGCAAAAAAAAAAAAAAAATGCAGAGCCATCTACAATGGCTGTGAAAAATGCGTCAGGTTAATTAAACCTCAAAGCTGAAACATAAAAGTTGACGACTCGTGTAAGCGCGGGAAAAGTAACTCAGACTTGGTGTTAGTTGATTTTGATTGGCTGAGAGGAGAACACTTTTGATTGGTCAGGGCACTATGAAGCCAGCTGAAAAGCTCAAGAACCTTAGAATTAAAGCTAACTTATTGTTATTTCGGAAAAGCATCGGAAATCCGTTGTATGGAGAGTGAGTTTTTTGCTTGATGTGATTGTCTCGCCGTAGACAAATGCATGATTCTATATGAAAGTTTGTTCGAGTTTGTGTCTCGCAAATGTTTACGCAAGATTTTTTAACCCATAAATAAAATTTGACCCTTTGTTTTTCAGAATACGTGAATCTTTACGTGGATTATCTGCTGAACAAGTCCATATACCAACAGTTCGCTTCGTTTTATCATGGTTTCCACAGTGTGTGTGCCTCCAATGCCCTCATCGTTAGTATCAATCGTTTTGTGTCATCTTGAGATTGATTAAATCGGATTTAGCACAGAGAATTTCCGTGTAAACTTGAATCACTGTTCTCTTAAAGCAAACTCCTGTCGGCTTGCCTATGAAACTTCATCAGCTTTTAGTTATGAAGTCTTCCAAGATGTATTTGATGGCTTATTCTCTCATTCCTTAGTACTTTGTCTTCTGTTACTGGCGTGAATTCTCCTTTATAAGCCTACTCACAAGAAAATCAAAACAAACTGAAAGCATCCTGATGATAAATTGCTGATTAATAAATACGTTATGTTTATACGTATTTATATTGTCATTGTGTTCCATGCAGATGTTACGTCCTGAAGAAGTAGAAATGTTAGTCTGTGGGAACCCTGAGCTTGATATGGATGCACTGAGAAAAGTGACAGTTTATGATGGCTACACGAAGAACGATCCTGTCATCAGGTTGGTGACGTTCTTCTCTTAGTTTCTGTAAAATATAGTTATTTATACGTAATATCATCATTACGCAAAAAAAATATTGAGACAATCGGGGAAACTGCCGCATTAAACCACTTTTTGTTGTTGGAATGAGTACTTTTGCCCTCCATGTTTAATACTACATCCGTAATAATATTGAGAGCAAAATAAACGAATTTCAATTGGTTGTAGTAGAGGACATTGTTCGTAAATTTTTTTGCTCGCCAGGGGCAAAATTGTACCGAAAATTCTGGATGATATCCTGAACACTGTCAAAGATGCAAGTCTAGCTCCGAAGATTTCCGAAGTCGACCCAAAGCCTTGAGATATGATATTTTTTCTTAATTGACCAGATTCCATTCAATTGCGTGTATGAATAGTAATCTTAGTGTTAGAAAGTTGGGTGTTTTACCTGAATGTCCTATTAACTCTGCTAGGTACTTCTGGGATGTGGTTCTGTCGTTTTCTCTGGAACTGAAGAAAAAGCTGCTTCTGTTTGCGACGGGTAGTGACCGTGTTCCGATCGGTGGCATGGGTGAGATGGAATTCAAGATAATCCGCATGGAAGTGGCTCACAGTACTAGCATGTAAGTCGAGATACATACGTGTTATTGACCTAGCGAGGTCTGCCGGATTTCGGCTCGGTCCATAAACTTGCAATAAAAAAGAACGAGACCACTATTTCCCAATACGGACCGAAGAAGGAAGTTCAATAAAGTATTTGTTATAATGGCTAAAAATTGATGCGTCTCCGCGATCCATTTTCGGTGAACGCGCGCGTCATTTCCCACGTTTCACGGGTGTTTGTGCAAATAGCAAACTTGTCTATATAATAAAAAAGAAAATGACGAAAGAGGATTATTAAAATTGTATTGTCTCGTTTTAAAAACCAATATTTTTACCACTCGAAAATACTAAATTATCATATCTTTTCGTCACAAGTTTTCCTCAGTAACTGCAATACTTACCTGTCTCACTGAATTGTGCTGAATGTTCTTGGAATTTGACGCGACATCAAGACGCTCAACATTTCTCTCTTATCGTTTCTCTGCAGGTTGCCAATGTCTCACACATGCTTCAACCAGCTTTGTCTTCCTCCGTACAAGAACCGAAAAGTTCTGAAACAAAAGCTCACTATTGCAATTTCCAACGCCGAGGGCTTTGGAATCGAATAGCCAAACGAAGAAACGACTATTTGTCAGTTCGTCCTTACTCAGTGGTTTCTTAGTCCTACAAAGCATGTCTCTCGCGGGAAGTCCTTGTTGAGAGGCCATGCTGTTCTGTGTATGTGTGACGTGAACGCATGCGTGGAAACAGCTAGTAGATTTCGACATGACATTTACAATTTTCGTTTTCCAATGCCGTCCTACAACACGAAGTATTTAGCTAAAATACTAAAGGTTACTTAAACCTTAAGAACGTTTTTGAAATTTGTGAAAAATGTTGCAATGTTTGCCATTGCATGAAATATTAGGTAATGTTCTGTAAGGAGCAAACGGTTGGAACATCACTAAGATTGTTGATTTTGATTGCCAAGTCTCCCAATAAAACACTATCGCAGAGTTTTTTTTACAATTAAGATGGTTCATCTCCTTACATTGAGCAATAAGTTTTGTCAGACAAGTAGAACGTGCAACACTTCAGCCAACCCAACCATCTGTTAATGATTGATTCCAGTAGAACTCGGCATAAAAGTTATCAACCGTTTGAACAGAAAAAGATTTGGAAATGTTCCATTGAGGATGTTCAAAACTTTTTAGAGCAAGTAAAACACGACCTCAGTTAGGATAGGTTTTGTCTATGACGAATTTGTTTTGAAATTGTACAGTTATAATAGTTGTAAAGTGTACATACTGTGTCTTCGATTGTAGATAGTGGTTCTTCTCCGAGCAATTTATTTGGTGTAAACGATGTAATGGATTTTGTGACGATTTTCGGTTGATAAGGGTTCACTGTCAATCTGGTCATGCTTTTGTAGGGAAAATAAATAACATCCAAGATCTGTCAGACGGTTACAAGGAATTCTTTCCAAATAACAATGCTTAGTTTGCTCTGAGACACGCCTGCAAAGAATCACGGTAGTTGCATTCAGTTTTGTCAAGTGTTGTTAACTACCTTGAACCCAACGAATCTCAGAGTGACCTAAGGATTGGAAAGTATAAATAAAGTTCACTTGGTCTTTGATCTTGTCTCGTTCTTGTACTTCGCAGTTTACTTTCTTTACAAACATAAAGCGCAAGAAGTTAGAGGACGTTGCGTTGAAATTACACGAATTATGGGAGGAAGCTGCGGCGTGTATTAATGCAGGCCCAAACTAAATTGAAGCCTTAAACAACGCATAACGCTCACCGTAGTTCAATAACAATTACTACATTCTCTATCCATACACACCATACAAACCCTCTGTTTTCAATCACTAGTAACTGGAGATTCAGAAATTTGAGATCTTAAACAAAAGTTGTCCAAACAATAGCAAACAACACCGGCAACTACACTCAGACACACTATATCAACGGTTCTTACAAATACTTAATCCTAGTTCGTAACGTGCTGATTTCCAAAACTGCTCAACAGACCGCTCAACAGCACTTTTTATTTGCAAGTAAAGTTTCCAACCATTTTAACCTCATAGCCCAGTTTCAAACTTTTTGAGTTTCTTGTAATGGTCTTCGTAATTTGTATATTGCCTTTTTCACATTATTTTGTCCAGATGATATTGCTGAAATAGTGAAAATTTCCAATGAAAATGATTTCGACTCAGTGGAAAGAATGAAACTTGTGCCGAAGCGTTGTTTCGCTTTATGCATACTGCGTAAGTCCTTACATAGTTAAGCATAAAATTAGAGTCATTTCTGACGTCTAATTGATGGTTTCAATCATTGTAAAAGAACGCGAACAAGATCGATTCAGAGCACCCCTAGAGATATTTTGAGATGTTGTTGAGTTGTTGTTACTTAGAGTCATAAGAAAATGGCAGTTTTTCGTCCCCAGAGCACGCGCTCCTTTCGGTCAGCAACATGAAACTTTTACTTTGCTGACCATTTTGTCGGGTTACTTGACCACCCTTCTTATCTCTTTGATTCCTGGATTTTCCACTCGAAAATAACTTGCTAAAATGGCGTCGATTCAGCTAAGTAAACAAGCAGATAACAAGTAATATACAGCGTGGAAATGAGGTAAGGTGACTCTTATAGCGGAGCGGTGCAGGAGTGGGGCTCCATACCTTAGGTCATCTGGTAACCCATCGATCTAAAAAAATTGGGTTGTCACGTGGCTACCCGTACGTATGTACGTCCGTCCGTACGTTTTTGATACCATGATTGTAGCATGATTGTAGCAAGCATAACACGATAAATGAATTTGGTTTCCATTAAGGTTTCAAGCAACAATTTTCTTTTAGCAAAATACAGAGAAACATGGACTTCATAGCCTTCAAGTAAGTAAATAATTCTACATAAATTTCAGAAGCTGCGTTCTTAGAACTAAGCTTTATTCCTCTCGCAAAAATTTTAAAAGTTATCGTTGAATCTCTTCGCCAAGCGCAAGAAGTTTGTACTAGGTGCAAACTTTAATTTTCATATGGTCTTTTACTTTCGTGATGAGTGATTCCGGTCATGAATTCCTGCTTTTCCCGTCAAACTTTTTGAATTAATTGATACAAAAAACTTAAATTATAAAAACTCTTTTTCCTTGGCCATCGTAGCTTTAGGAGAAACAAAACACAAACCGCGGTGATAAACATGGAACCAAAACGCATGTTAAACAAAGTTAATTTCCTTGACGTTTCGTATATGTACAACATACATCTTCAGAAGTGACCGTTAACTAGATTACAATCGAAATTTAAACGCGAAGAAAAAGAAA